TCCTCTCAGAATTTTGGACACACAGGCACACCTATCCAGTATGATGTTTAAGCCACTGGGTCCAAGACTCAATCTGTTCAGTCAGGCACATGGGATCCAGTACCTTAACTTTCATGCCTTCAGCTGGCCTGTGCCAATTAAATTTTAACTCATGGTTGATAAAAGGTGCTAATGACCTCTGGAGGCAGGAGCGTTCACAGAGAATGTGGAATAAAGACTGGATTCACCACACTTTCAACATGGTCTCTTAAGAATAGCAAATCAGTAGGAAAATTGTTTTTTCTTTCCAGACTAGAGTCCACGAGGGAAATCAGGTACTATGAGGTTGTAGGTATAAGGAAAAAATGTACCCAGGGAACATATAAAGGTAGCTATAAATATTTCCTTTATAATTGTCCCTCAACGAGTATAGCCTTGGGCTGGACAAGACATAGTTGATGTTTTTGGAGTCTCCAGTCTGGCTGGGGGACCATGATTCATTCTTTCATGATGTCTTGTCTGGGGACAGAGCTTCAGTCTCCATCACCAACCATTCAGGGAGAAAGTCACCCTTCCGCAAGAAGGCTGTCCTCTCTGAGAGCCCACACAGGTGAGTCTGAGAGCCTGGTAGGTACTGTAGGAATGGTTCAGAGAGAATGGGTGCCAAGGACATCTACCTTGGATCTCCTGAGAGCCAAACCAGCCCAGCAAGAGCTGAGAAATTGATGTGTTTGGTTACTTGTCAGCCCAAGATATTAATCATTAATTTTTTTAAGACATTAACAAGCCATGTGTCAGTCAGACTTAACAATGCAGGCATCGTTGTGGAAAACTTATTGATGGGAATTGACATCCAATTGGATGAGGGTGAAGAAGGAATGAGACCAATAAAAAGGATTTCAGTCAAATTGGAACATGTCCACAAAAATTTGCATTTGAAGAAGGAGGATGAGTAGAGTCCGTGTTGTGATAAGATGTGCAATGACTTTTGGGTCTGTTAAGAAATTTTTGAAATGAGGGTATTTGTTCATGTTTCTGTATTATTTTTTGAAGATAGAGTGAATGGGTTCCTTGCAATCCATACTTATACTTACAGTATTTTTATGAATCATACATTTCAGTTTCTTCTTTCACATTGGGCAATCATATAAAAATTATTCAAAGGTCAAAGTGGGGATATTAAAGAGTTTTTATTTACAAATACTTTCATGCTGGTGAGGTTGAATAGTTTTTTTAATCTGTTAGCTTTTTAGTTTATTGCAAATCATACATGTCTTTTGTTTTTTCTGTTCTGGGGTCTTAGTATTTTGTATGTTTTTGATTTAAAAAAATAGTGAATTTAAGTTTTAAAATAAAATGGTCAGAATAGCATTGCTATTAATGTATTGCTAGATATAGATAGATGTTAGGTGACTGTGAAAAGGTAAACATTTTGTGTTATCAAATGCGGTCATAAATCATATTTTATACATACCCACCTCTCTCAAATTTTTATTGACTTAGATAAATTCTTCATTAGTAGTAGAAGTAAATCTTTTTTTTTTTCTTGCCATAGGGTGTAAGACCAAGAGAAAGATAGAAGGAAAGTGAGAAAATACTTCCCAGTGGGGATGGTCATGCTGTAATTCCTACTTCTCCAATTTCCTCTCAGGATTTTGGGCCTGTACACTTATGCACCTGGTGTGATTTTCAAGCTGCTGGGTTCAGGACTCAAACCATGGTTGACCATGTGGGAGTCCAGCACCTTAACCACTATGACACCTGCTGCCCTCCACCCAATTGTGGTTCTAAAAGATATCTGAATACTAATCAACAGATTAAAAATTAGGAGAGTACTGTTATGATCGATGGAAGACTGTAGAAATAAAATGCTATGTGATTCCATTAACTAAGTATCTGAAGTCGTTGAAGTCATAGAAGTTGATAACAGAATGGTGGTTTCCAAGGGATTCATGAAAGGGGAAACCGCGTTGTTTTTCAATGGATATAAAGTTAGTTATTGGGCCAGCTGGTGGCATGGTGGTTAAGGTGGCTGGATCATACATGACCAACTTCACAGGTATACTCCCAGACGTGATGACTTGGAAAACTTGCCAGGCATGTTTGTGTGCACACCCAACATTTCCAGAAGAGAACGGTTTGTGGTGTGGCCATTCTCTCTGGGAGGTGATTTCTCATTTTCCCTTTGTCTCCCCCCCTCTCTGTCTCATAGCAAAACTAAAGAAAAAATAAACATATTGAAACATTACATTGTACCTGTAAATATGTACTATTATGATTATTTGTCAATAAATAAGTAAGTTAAAAATCCTGTAGAATAGGGACCAGCTAGTGGCATGGGGGTTAAGGGTGCTGGACTCTCATATAAATGACTGTGGTTCAAGTCCTAGACCTGGCAGCTTGCTTTCTCATTTTTCACTCTCTCTCTTTTTCTCTCTCTCACTCTGTCAAATTAAAAAAACAACAACAACTTTTTTTTGAGAGGTTTTTTTGCTATACAGTGTGTGTACTCACCAGAAAGACAGAGAGAGACAGAGAGACAGAGAGACAGAAAGTGAGAAATCAGCCCCCAGGGGGCATGGCCATGCCGCAACCCCCTCTTCTACATTCTCCTCTTGGGATCTTGGGCATGCATGCACATACGCCCAGCATGAGTTTAAGCCACTGGGTCCAGGACTTGAACCACGATCGACTACATGGGAGTTCAGCGACATAGGCATTATGCCAAATGCTGGTCCCTTAATAATATCTTTTAAAAAGTCCTATAGAATAAATAATCTATGGGAACAAAGAAGTATGATAGGCATTCTTTATTTTTCTTAATTTGAAGTTTATTTATTTTACATTCATTCACTGTACATCATTACAGCATAGAAAATGCAATTTCCTATCCAGAATACACCATATTTTGGCTTTGTCAATCATGTCGTCATACATGTTAACATCAACAAATAATTTTCCATTCCTTGTTTCTTCTTTTTCTCCTTCTTCTTCTCATCCTCCTCCTCCTCCTTCTTCTTCTTTTCTTCTCCTTCTTCTTCTTTTCTTTTCTCCTTGATTCCCTACTTCTTACCTTCTGCCATTTCCTACTTTCCTCTCATACTGTTTCTGGTGTCTACAGTTGCATACCTCCTCTTCACCCCCACTTTTTTTTAATTGATTCACAAAATATCTTAATCTAAATGATTTTAATAGCAAGTTCAGCTGATATATACATAGTTGTGAACACATATGTGACTTTAGGCATAAAACTCAGTGAGTAGAATGAACATACTATAAAGTAGTACCTAGCTGAGGCTATATAGCTTACTGCAATAATTAAACAGATTTTTTAATCTCAAGAAAAACAGTTTCAGATTTAATAAATCAAATTAAAAAACATTAAGACTCATTTTCTTAAGACTTAAAGCCAGGAAAAAAGGTTAGGATTCTGTTCAAATAGTAGGTAGATGAACCTATCAACAGCTCAAGAGAAGACAAAAATCTTTAAATCTGTAAAACAAAGCATAGAAGAAAATCAGTAATGTTTTAGTCAAAAATTATGAAATTCTATTTCACCAGTTCAGTCTCATGTAATTAATCTCTCTTCTGTTGTGGTCTGATCTTTCTGTTTAAATTTTGGAAGTTAACATTCAATACCGGACTTCTCCCTACCATTAAGTTGGCGATTTTCTTGGATGCTTTTTGGATTCTTATTTGTGTGTGTCTGACTTTAGTTTTCCTAGTATAGCACTCTCTTCAGAATTTCTTGAACAAATGGTCTGGCGTTGGTAAATTCTTTCAGGTTTTGTTTATCTGAGAGTGTTTTTTTTTTTTTTTTTCTTCCCATATGAAGGATAATCTTGCTGGGCTTAGTATTCTTGGTTGAAATTGTTTTTCACTTAATACTTTGAATATATTTTTCCATTCTTCCTTGCTCACATTGTTTTCCATGAGAAGTCTGCTGTTAGTCTGATGGGATATAGTTTGTAAGTAACTTGACATTTCTCTCTTGCCAATTTTAGTACTTTGTCTTTGTCTATGGTTTTGGTCAATCTGGCTATGATGTGTCTTGGAGAAGATCTTCTTGGGTTGATTCTATGTGGTGTCCATTGTATTTCTTGGGTCTAGATCTTTGCATGCCTCCCTAGGTTTGAAAAGTTTTCTTCCAGGATTTCATGGAATAGATGATCAATGTCCTTATTAGTCTCTTTATATTTGGAGATACCAATTATCTGTATGTTTGGACATTTAATGGTTTCTAGTATTTCTTGTATATTATTCTCATTTTTTCAGGTTCTCAGTTTTTGCAGTGAATTTTTCTAGACCAGAGACTCTGTCTTTTACATCTGAGATTTCACCTCTTTGCATAATATAATCCGAATTAATACTTTCAAGGGGAGTTTTGTGTAAAATTAGCCATCTTATTTTCCTCTTTTCAGATAGTCACTTCCACCACAAGCCACCAGGAAATGACACACATATTTCAGAATTTATTCTTCTGGGATTTTCAGAAGAACTGCAATTACAGCCCCTCATATTTGGGTTTTTCCTCTCCATGTACCTGATCACTGTGTGTGGAAACCTGCTCATCATCCTGGTCACCATCTCAGACTCCCACCTGCACACCCCCATGTACTTCTTCCTCTCCAACCTGTCCTTTGCTGACATCTGTTTCACCTCCACCACCATCCCAAAGATGCTGGTGAACATCCAGACACAGAGCAAGGTCATCACCTATGCAGGCTGCATCACCCAGATGTACTTTTTCATAGTTTTTGCATCACTGGATGACTTCCTCCTGTCTGTGATGGCCTATGACCGGTATGTGGCCATCTGTCACCCTCTGAACTACATGGTCATCATGAACTCCTGTCTCTGTGGAAAGCTGGTTCTGGCATCCTGGATCATAACTGTCTTGTATTCCTTGATACACAGCTTAATGGCATTGCAGCTGTCCTTCTGTACACATGTGGAAATCCCCCACTTTTTCTGTGAACTTAATCAGATAGTCCATCTTGCCTGCTCTGACACTTTTCTTAATGACATAGTAATTTATTTTGCATTTGTGCTGCTTGGTGGCGGTCCCCTCATTGGGATCTTTTACTCTTACTGTAAGATAGTTTCCTCTATTCGTGCAATGTCATCAGCTCAGGGAAAGTACAAGGCATTTTCCACCTGTGCCTCTCACCTCTCCATTGTCTCTTTATTTTATTGTACAAGCATGGGTGTGTACCTTAGTGCTGGTGCTACCCACAGCTCACACTCAAGGTCAACTGCCTCAGTGATATACATGATGGTCACCCCTATGCTGAACCCCTTCATCTACAGTCTGAGGAATAAAGACATAAAGAGGGCTCTGAAAATAGTCTTTGGAGTGAAACTATGGAAGGATTCATTAGCCTGGGGCTGAAGTAATGCCCATGATTGCAGGGTTCAAAACCTTGGCACCAAAAATTCTGGTTTTCTAAACAGACTGTTAAAGTACTTGTTGGGCTGGGGCAGCATGTGGTATGGTGGTTAAGGGTGCTGGACTCCCACATGGCTGACTATGGTTCAAGTCCCGGACCTGACGGCTTGCTTTCTTTCTCTCTCTCTGTCCATCTCTGGTTAAATAAAAATAAATAAATAAATAAATAAATAAATGTTAAATACAAAAGTACTTGTTGGGAACAGCAGATGGTGAGATAGTTATGTTGCTGGCCTTCCACACAGTCGACCCCAATTCTAGTCCTGAAGCTGATGGCTTAAAACTTACATCGGGCTTGTATGCATGCATGCCCCAAGTCCATGGAGGAGAATGGAGGGGAAGGGATTACAGTGTTGCCATCTCTCCTGGGGGTTATTCTCACTTTCTGTCTTTCTGGTGAGTTTATGTGCCCTATAGCAAAAAAATGTATTCTCAAATGATGTATATTTTGCAGCAGTATTTGTATAGTGTTAGTAAAATAAGTCTCTTGGGTTGTGTTTTGTCTACAGAAAAAAAACGACAACATGAAAAAAAATTTAGAAAACAACAAACAACTTTACATTTGGCAACTATTTACCATTAATGTAATGTATAGTACGGAAAAATCTGAAACAGCAGATTTCCATATCTGTCCTTGCTTCCAGTAACTCTCTCTGAAATATAGACTTCAATATATTAGTGTGTTTGATTTCCCATAATTCCCTCATTAGAATATGGTTCTGTTATTCTGCTCAGAGTTCACATTCCCTACTGTAATCACTGTCAGAAACGACGATCAGGCTCAGACTCAGTGATAGAGTCATAGGGTACCAGAGTACAGAGCTAGAACCCACTTGTGGACCATGTTTCAAGTCCCGAGTCTGGTCAGCCTGAAATCTCACTGGATGGGTGTGAGCCCAGGATCCTGAAGGACTGGAGGGTTGGAGGAAGAGAGTCTCAGCATCCCCCTGCCCTGTAAAGAGTGTTTCTCTCTCTTTACTTCTGTCTTCCTCTTGCTGTCTCTTTCTCTCTCTTCATGTGCACCAACACATTCTATCATGAATAGAAAAACATTTTTTTGCACCTACCTGAGTCAAAATGCATTGTATATAAAAAGGCAAATTTAAACAAATAGTTGAACAAATATTGTCTTAGAGTCAGAGATAGCCTGTAATATGATGAAATGAACATGCAATCATACATTGAGTTAACTCTGCACTGTGTTTCTTCTTCACCCTGTTCAACTACTTATGAAGTATGGAAAATTGCTGTCTATGTGGAAGGGTGTTTACTCATTGCGGTGAAGGATTGATTGATGTGTTTTTATGTTGTCTCATTCAATATCTTCCTGTTTCTCCTTGAACACCTCCAGTGTTGGTTGTAATTATAATTCCTTAAAGTGTTTAAAATGAATTACCTCCCCCTCTTTTAAATTTTGCCGTATCAAACGGACAGTGAGTGAACAAATATCAGTATCATCCAACATATGTTTCCTTTGTGTTGAAGATTCTCTTCAAAATTTATGATCAAAGGATGATTCACAAGAGTTTAAATTCCTATCCCCATCTTTTGATTCAAGGTCAAAGTTTCCTGTAAAAACATTTATGTTCTGTTGATTTCTCCTAGCTACCTCTAAGAAAACATCAATGTAGTCACTTTGCTATATATATTCTAGTCCTGAAGCTGATGGCTTAAAACTTACAAAATATATATATGCTATATATATTCTAGTCCTGAAGCTGATGGCTTAAAACTTACATACACACACACACAGATAAAGTTTTGGAATAGATTGAGTGTGTTTGCAGAGAGAGACAGAATGAAAGAAATGGGAAGTGAGAAATCACTTCCCAGGGGGGATGGCCATACTTTAATTCCTTCTTCTCTAGTCTCCTATCAGAAATTTGGACACACGTGCACACATGCCCAGTGTGATTTTCAAGCCACTGGGTGCGGAACTTGAATAGCCCAATCAGCAATGTGGGATCCCGCACCTTAACCTCCATGCCACGTGCAGACCCATGACAATTAAATTTTAACTCAAGGTTGGTAAAAGGTGCTGATGACCTTTAGAAGCAGGAGATTTCACAGAGAGCATGTGATAAAGACTGGAGTCATCATACTTTCATCTTGGTTCTATGAGAGCTGCAAATAAAAAGGAAAAATTTCCTTTTTTTCCCAGACCAGTGTCCAAGAGGGAAATCAGCTACCAAGAGATTGCAGTTAAAAGGAGGAAATTTACATAATGAGCAGATACATGGTGCTACAAATATTTCCTCTGTCATTGTCCCTCAAGAACTGCAGCCTTGACCTGGATGAGTCATCTCCAATTGGTTAGGAGACTATGCTTAATTCTTTCATTGTGTCTTATCTGGGGACAGAGCTGCAGTCTCCACCACCATTCAGGGAGAAATTCACCCTTCTATAAGAAGACTGTCCACTCAGAGAGCCCATTACAGGTAAGTCCGAGAGCCTGGTAGACACCACAGGAGTGGTTCAGAGAGAATGGATGGCAAGAACATCTACCTGAGATCACCTGAGAGATAATCCAACCCAGCAAGAGACGAGATATTGATGTGTTTGGTTACTTGTCTGACCACTCTATTTATCATTAATTTATTTAATATGTTAACATACCCTGTATCTTTCAGACTTAACCATGCAGGCATCATTGTGGGCAATTTAGTGATGGGAATAGGCTTCCAGTCAGAGGGGGTAGAGGAAAAAATGGGAGAAATAAAATGAATTCAGTCAAATTCGAATATGTGCACAGGAATTTACAGTTCAAGAAGAAAAGTAGAATCAGAGTTGCAATGAGATGTGCAATGACTTTTGGGTCTGTTAAGGAATTTTCAGAATGAGTGTATTTGTGCAAATTTTGGTAAGTTTTGAAGGACCCAGATGGGTTGTTTGCAATTCATGTCTTGCAACTGTACTTCATTAGACATACACTTCACGTTTCTTCTTCTTCTTCTTTTTTTTTTTTGGAGAGGTTTTTGCTATAGGGAGCGTGCGCTCGCCAGACAGACAGAGAGAGACATAGAGACAGA